TTAAGGAAGTATACTTAACAGTTTTAGAAAGCATATCCATGGCCATTGCTCCTCAGTGTAAAAACTGTGCATGAATTGTAAATTTATAGGTGCATGAGGTGCTCTTCTCATCATCAGTCATGATTGTAGGTTCTGTATAAATAAATAAATCTGTGTAAATAAATCTGTATAAATTTGTGAAGTTACTTACAATCTTCCCTGTTGCCTTTCTTGAGCTGTTTGCAAGGCCTCTATTTTGTTCATATTTTCAGTTTTTGGCAGAGCAAGACTCATGCAGTCCTGTGTTTGGAATATTGTTTTCTCAATACTACATATTTGCATAGGTCTTTATTCAGTTTTACGGATTAGACTGGTATAAGGCAAAGTCAGTTCTGTCCTGCTTGTTAAAAAAGCACCTTGTTCATCTGATTCTAAACAAATGATGTCAGGGGCATCATTAGCAATTACTCAAGAATGTTTTCCCAAAAATATTTTTGTGACCCCAGGAACATGTTTATATTTTGAAATTCCTTAGCCATGTCTTTTGCAACAAAATATTTTTACTTTTCATTGTTCACTGTTTCAAGGTGGTTTGTTCATCTTTAAGACTAGTAGTGGATTTTTCTGTCCTTTTCAAATATTTGGGGACATTTTGGAGCTGCCACTAGAGCATGAGTTAAAAATATGTGGATACTGAAGCTGCCTAGGCTAATAATTATCAAGCGCTGAAAGACTGCTTGTTTGAATGTAAGTCTGTAAAACTTAATTTGAAGAGAGAAATGTCTCTGTGAAGGTTTACTGTGGATGGAATTTACTGAATTCTCAAATATGAAATTCCCTTTTGCTTTCAGATCAGATCATTAGTCAGCTCTTCTTTTTAGGAATATGATCTGTTGCTTGACCAAAGAGTTCTGTTGGATATCTCTCCCTGCAGCCTGGATTGATCTGTGAACGCACATCACTTCAATCTTTCTTTGTTTCTGAAGTTTATTTTCTGGAAATGCTTCTCTCCATTTCCTCCTAGAATCGAGGTCTTTTTGGAGGCTGGGTTTTGGCAGCCATCCTCCGAATATTTTCTTAACTGACGCTTTCTTGCAAGAATTTCATGGGCAGTTTATTGGTGCTTTTCATTAGATCTTTTATCAACTGTTGCCTGAAACGCCTTCTCTTCCTCGCAGAAGTTTTTTCAAATTCTTAACTCATGATAAAAAACCCCAGGAAGGTCTAATAAGTTAGTCACACAGTGGCTAGCACTGATTTCAGCTTGTCTGTCCAGCTCTGGAGATACCTTATCTCCTGGAATGCCAAGCCTTGGGGACAGCATGAGTAGAGCAATTGATTCTTCCCATACCTATGAGAGCTGTTTTTTATCAGAGGAAGGAAGTGACCTAGCTTCTCCCTATGCATGGGACTAGAGCAGCTTTCCACCTCCATCATGCTCTTTTGTTTCTATAAGGTAAGACTGGTCTAAAGTTTTAGCTTGTATTCAGTGTCTTACTGTGCTTCATTTAATATGTAGCTACTGAAGAGTCCAAGCCAGCCCCTGGCACAGGGGAGAAGGGAGGATGAGTGTCTGGCTGTTCCACGGGAGATTTACATTGGATATTAGAAAAAAGTTTCTCACTGAAAGGGTTGTAAGGAATTGGAACAGTCTGCCCAGGAAAGTGATTGAGTTACCACCCCCAGCAGTGCTGGGTTAACAGTTGGACTTGGTGCTCTTTGAGGTCTTTTCCAACCTTGATTACTCTATGTTGGACTGAAAATTACAAGAGAACTTTGAGAAAAACAGATGATTTTTCTGACTCAGGACAGTTGCATAAATGCTAGGGGTGTGGGCAGAAATCCCCACAGAGAGCTTGAAGGGTCTGAGCAATAGGTCACGTGTGTATGTAGAGTCTCAGGTTTTGTGGATGGAGCCTGAAAATTCTTAGTTTGGGTTATTGTCTCTTGGGTGTTCGGTGGGATTCTTCGGATCACTGAAAATGAGCCAAGGATTGGGATTAGGGCTGGGGGAGAGAGCACAGGCTGGAGTTGCAGATGCAGCTGCAGTTGGGGCTGCCAGAGGAAGACGTGCTGCAGGTTTTCTCTCCTAAAAACTCTTTAGGCTAGGACATGGCTGGGGACAGGAGGCCCAGGGCAGCCAAGTCCTTTGTTTAGGATTGGTGGGGCAAGAAAATGTGGGACTGCAGTTGTCAGGGGCTTCTAGGAGAAAGTGTGGGTTAGTGTTTTTTCTCACCTGCAGAGTCTTTCCCTTGGGCCACGGCCGAGGATCTTGTGCCAGGTCCCCAATGCAAAATGGTGATCGGTCTTGTTTGCCCAGTATTTCAACAGAAACCTACCAGAGCTGATAAAACTTTACATATTAAGACATGTGCTCTATGAAAGTTTAAATTGGCACAGAAAATTTAGTTTGTGTATACAGGTCTATGTCAGAAGTGGTATAGTTAGTGGATTTTTGAGAAGTGGTGATGGACAGTAACTGTGAGAGTGAAGGCAACCATTGAGACACTGCACAAACAGCATGACTTTTCAGCTGGCTTGGTAGCAGGGCAAGCTTAAACCACTCAGTGTGTTGGCATCTGGATTGTTGCTCTAGATGAGGCAATAACTCAGAAGCAGTTGGTCTGCTCTGGAAGAAACCTCCTTTTGACATATTCTGCAGCAAGCAAGTCCTAGGGGATCTGGTGCCAGACTGCTTAGAAATGTTTCCAACAGGCGACAAACTTTTTAATAATAATTTTAATTTCTTCCTCAGAGTTTTCCATCTTCCATTTCCTCTCTCTTCATCCTCCAAATGATGACCTAAAATGTTGTTTGTTCCCTGCTTCTTACCTTCCTTTCAATTTATCCTATTCCTGTATTTCACAGGAAATTCTGTACAAGCCATTTTGAAGATTTATTTAGAATGGTTTTGGCATTAGAGGTTTCTAATAAAAACTCTTTATTTTGCCTTCTGTTATTGCCTATGACTTTTAATCTGCACCTGCAATATTTGTTATAGTGCTGACGCATTCACATTTGAGTAATAAAGAAAATGGGATGCTTTAGCTAATATATTCTTTTTTTCCTGAGACAGAATAGGCAGACTGAGGATTGAAATCACAAGAGAGCTACAATATTTGGAAAGAAGTTCTCTGGCAAAAAAAAAAGATGTCTTAAATTGCCTGGTGTAGCAGCTAAATGGAAAATAGTAGTTTTACAAAGTTGCTGCTGTGTAAGGTTAAAAAGTACCATAGTATCTTTTGGAGGGAAAAGAAGTAATTTTCTTTTCCATCTCTGAAATAAAATACTGGTTCTAGAAGACAGGCATTTATTGCTGTTCTCTTCATCTAATGGAGAAAAGTGATTTTTTTGTAAATAGAAGTATATTAATTAATTTGTTTTTAGGATGTTAGATTCTACCTCAAGCAGAAGAATAGTACAGCTGTTTGTATGAGCTTGGGCTATGGAGTTTTTAACTTCAAGGATATTAAAAAAATATCCCCAACTCCCAAAAGTATTGTTCATATTGGTTTTGATGCTACTCCCAATACATGATGATGTTGGAGATGTGGGAACTTCAAGAGTGTAATAATATGTGTACAATTTAGGACAAGTAGAACAGAAGCTTTACTAACTATGATCATAGAAAACTGAGACTAGCATCTCCCACTCTGCTTCCCTGTCCTAAGTGTTTGCAGAAACCCAACCTATATACTGCTCAAGGGAGACACAAAAGGAAAGAGGTGAGGAAAAGTGATAATTTCAATGTTCACAAAGCCAGATGTTCACTCCAGGAGGGATGAACACCTTCATGAGCTTGCAAATTGCCACAGGCCTAATGAATAAAGCAACAAATAATGTGCCACTATGGAGAGATGGCTCCTGGTGGAGCTTTGAGCAGTGTCACACAGCCTGTTATCCTAACTCAGAAGTAGGGAACTGGAAATCATCACAGACTGTTAGGTTTTAGTTGAAAGGAATATTCTTTTCATCTTGATAAAATTCTCAGCCAGACCTCTCAAATATTAAATATGGATAATTTTGCCACCACAGTATGCTGCCAGAGTAGTCTGGTCTTGGAGACCATGTCAGCTCAAATTGAGGTTCCTCTCTTCCATAGAGCTATTCTAATTTTCAGGGAGTTTTAAATTTAAGCAGACATCATTTTTTCTCTTCAAAGATCTTGAATTTTAAGTCCATATCTTGACCTGATGATTTTCTTCCCAGTGGATTGAACTGGTTGAATTTTTCTTTGGATAAAAGAAATTACGATTTTTTCTTGTGGGGAGAGTGGTGAAGACAGTGTTTGTTGCAACAGGATTTTACAATTAAAATTTCCCACTTTTAGAGGCTTGGTAATTTTTTTGAGTATTCTAACAATGAGCCATGTCAGCACATCTCATTGCATGCTCATGGGTGGTGAGGAACTTGGATTTGGGGGGTTGCTAATCTTTGGACACTGAACAGTATTCAACTGTGATATCACTGGCCTAATAGTATTTTCATGAGACAGAGGGCTTACAGATTCCCTTTTAATTTGTCTTCTCTCATTTGAGATTTATGGGACTCTCCATTCAACACAATATATGGAGAGATGGCATTTAATTTCAAGATGAAAAAAACAGACAGGCCACCCATAAAGTGTACGTCCTTTCTCACTTTTCTGCAATGCAGAAACTGCCAGATCGGGACCCCTTCTGGGTTTCTGCTCTCAGGCCTTTCCAGGCATGGTCTGCCTGTACACAGGTAAGGCAGACCGATGTGACAAAATTCACCCAGAATCTCTCTGGGTCACTGATGTGGTCTAGATCAATTTAGAATTTAAAATAAATTCTGTTGAGTTACTGTGCTGTGGATATTCATCCCAGTCTTTCTTCTTTTCAGTGATGGAATTTGGGTATCCATGGATGTTTTCAGAAGGGAAAAAGGCGAGATTCTTTTTTTTCATTCAAACTGAAATCCTTATGTGCTGGGAGAAAATGCTTGATAATTTGGATTTTGTGACTTACCACTCATAAAATACTCCTTTTTCATAACAGGTTGCTGAATGCGATAAAGCCAGGATTGGTAAAAAAGATCAATAGACTGCCGACCCCCATTGCAGGTTTGGTAAGTATATCAAATGGAGTCAAATATTATTTTAGTGCTGCTTTTTGCACCTTGACATTGACTATGTGATTCAGATAGCAGCTACTTTCGTAATTTGAACTCCTCTGGCCGAGCAAACTCAGACAGTCCCTCTGAAATCAGAATGCTCTATGTAGTCACCTTAAGATCTTTCAGTCTTTTTTTTCCAGAAGTAGGCAGTATTCAAGTGGCAGGGTATATTTTTAGAGGAAGATGATCTTCTTGGTTATATATCACCTTTCAGTTGTGGCACTAGCTTTAGAAAACTGGTATGCATGCATTAGAAGCCACCACCACAGAAAGATAGTCTTTGGAAAGGAAGAAAACTATGCTTGTATATTTTGTCTCATTTTCCCTTTCCCCAAAATACCACAGTCTGGAGATAACATTCATTGTGGGACTATCTGGGGAACTGTTTCATGTTGACTTTAAGGGCAGAGCAAAATTTGGCCATCCTCTGTTGTAAGCAAGGAAGACCACAGAGGATGTGCTGACAGCTCATGGGCTATGGGGAGTGCTGGGTGCTCAGGGGGTCACCTCAAGTGATGGCACAGACCTGTGCTTGCTGCTGGGGCAGAAGGTGGGGGTGTGAGTGCTTGTTGAGTCTAACAGGACTAGCCACGTAGAAATATGGTTGTATTGATTTTACCTTCAGCTGTAATTGGGAATAAAAGGGTCCTTGAGCATGTGGAAGGTGGCCACCCTCAATTTAGACTCATCATATATATACATGGTTCCTTTATATTCTGGCACCGTTCACATTGTGGCTTATACAAGATTCAGAATATATTACTTGTTGATAGCTGAAGTTAACATTCCTTTGTATAAATGGCATTAAAAAGTTTCAGTGTGTCAGAAACCATATTACATTTGCTGTTAAATTAGTTCTATAATGTTGTTACATTATAATGTAATGCAATGTTGTATAATGTTGTTACAGCCTTTGAGACTGGGTCTTTCAACCTGTAGATTGACAAGGATATTTCTGCATGAATACTGCCTGGTTTTAGAATCTTTTGGTCTCCATCACCCTTTCTTAAAGTTTTCTCGGGTGCCTTTCTTTTGCCTCTAAAACTCATCTAGGTTTATTCCTTTGCAGTCCTTTTTGAAAGGAATATTTGATATAAACAGCTGAAAAAAGTACCAGTAGTGCAGTTTTCTTTTCCTTGGCTCGCCTTCAGGAAAGACTCAATTTTTGTTATGACTGTTTTAAGAAGTTGATATTGAATTACATTGGTTTTTTTCCTTATTCATATGTAAAATCCCAATGGTAAGGTGGTTACAGTAGAAAGGACATAGAAAAAGGTCATTATGTGTGTGTACTTTTCTCATTCCTGGAGATAAAGCTCTCTTGCAAGATGTGGATCTTCAAAGCATTATGAAAAAAAGAAGTTTTCAGGCTACTAATGACACAGATCTTTTTTGTGTGTTGTAAGGTAACTTTATTACCTCGGTACCTGTGTCATCTGATTTTCTTTAGTAACTACTTTTCTAAATATTTTTCCTAATAAATAGTTGGGTTGTTTTAAAAGTTCACTGTTTCTGAGTTCTTGAACATTTGTGATTAGATTTCTCCCAACAAAACAATCAAAATTTCCGCTTGCTTTCCAAGATGTCTGGTTCCATACCTGCTGACTTTTGTTGCAATTTGTAGTTACAGTGATGAGTAAGTGGCTGCTTTAAAGATTGCATGTGAATTTAAATGATCAAGTGTTCTAACTAGTTTGTTATGCTTATTTATGGTGTATTATTTAAAAGTACAGCCATCAGGAGGGTGTTTGAGCACAGGGTGTATCCTTTTCTTTTCACTTACCTGTACCATGCCTATGTGTCTGAAAAAAAATAAAATAAAATATTGACACTTTGGTCCAGAAACAGTCATACCTCCTAGGTAGTTGACTCTAGATGAGAGACATTCCCTTATTAGTTCCCAATTTTTCTTTATTATCTTAGTTTTGGTTGGCTTGACATACTAAATAGTTACTTCTTTCCAGTTATTTCACCCCAGTAAGTGTGATTTCCTGAAGTACAAGTTTCTACTTCTGCGTAAGCTTCACTACCTTTTCTTCCTTGTGTGAGATAACTGCTTTTAAATCCTACATACTGCTTCTGCCTAAAAATTGTACCCTAATTATTGTAACAGAATTAATTTATTTCCTGTAGCTGATAGAATAAGTATTTATTTTGCTAAGAGAGACAATAGGTGTGTTTTCTTTCATACATAGTAGGAGCTAAAACTTATGAGTAATTGTGCAGTATTCAAAGGGCCTTTTGTTTCATCTTTAACCTCTAGAGACACATAGAGTTATATATTATATAGCTCTGCAAAGTGTCTACTTGAGTCTAATTCTCCAGATGATAGTCTATTTTTCTCCGTTGTTACAGTAAGGAAAAATTAGGAAGTGTCCTTTTTATTGAAGGAAAAATAACAGTGAACTTGAAGCCTGTATCAGACACATGCTGAGATGTTCACTTGGAAGTATTATCAGGTGTAAAAATTTTGCCTATATTTCATGTTTGAGTGACCTATCACAACACTTCTGTAAGTATTATGCATAACTTGTTCAGTGTTGACAGACTGGATTCTTCAAACTTTTCCTGGCATTTAAAACTTGATGAATCTGCAGTTACTCTGAAATTCTCACTGTGACTTGCTCATGTACTTTAAGAGGGAATAATTTATTTGTATATCTTGCATACCAGAACATCAGTCGGTTAAGTAAAATTTATTGGTTATAGTGCTGTGGTGTTAAAGTAAAAACTCAAGAATCTGAACACCACCATACTTAGCACAGGCCATATAAATACATAAAGATGATCTTTGTCTAGCTGCAAGTCAGGATGTAGATTGCATGCAGCATTACATATAGAATTACATATGTTCAGCTTGGCAGGCGTGTTTGTAATTTGCTTTGATCTCCAGAAGCGCTGACTGCTTCTGTTATCAAAGCAGAAATGATACATTGCTTTAATGAAAGAAAATGTAGGACCACTGCTTTGGTATTCAGACTTACAGTATTAAATCTGATGAAATGTTTTCTCATTCTTCTTCAGTATTCATTAATCCTGAAAGCTAATGCTCCCACCAAAAATCAAATTCACAAAACATTCAAAGAAGATATTAGGCCTAGGTAGGAGTAACAGGCTTTACTAAAAGCCTTGTTGCCAGAAGAAATTTTCTCATGTGAGAAACTGATACTGAGCATCTTTGTTTTAAAACTGTCAGGTTTCTAGCACCATCATTTCATGTGTTTAATTGTAGAAGGCTGGAGAAGTGTTTTGACTGAGTTGTTAATTAAAAAACCATCTGGAACTGCAGAAGACTTGCAAAGATATATTAGAGTACAATGAATATAATTAAGCGACTTTTACAAAACCAGCAATTTTTTCAGTGAGTTGGTGTTGGTTTCTTTCATTTTGTACTACATTCATAGTGAATACAACTAATTTTTAAGGTTTTTACTAATTGCAGTTTTGTACCTCTATACCTTATTATCTATTCTATACGAATTACCAGCATCGCCATAGATAAGCTTTGCTCTATAATACTAATCACTGTATGTTGACTTTCTTTTTTCCTTAAAAAGATTTCAGCTTTTGCTTCCTGTCCCTGAATAATGTCACTCTGTGAGAAAAGAAAAGGTTTCTGCCTTATCTTTTGTTTGACAGGATTTAGGGGAGTTTATAGCATTACTTCAGTTCCTTGAACAATCCCCACAGGAGCTCAGACACTTACTTCAGAGGCTGTGTGAACGATTCTCACATATAATAGGAGGAAATAGTCAAGACAAAGATGGAGAGATGAACTTTAGCTTGGATCTTGGCTCATGTTCCAGCACTACTGAATAAAAATCTGCCTGCAGTGGCATCCAGTTTTTAGTTTGCTTATGGTCCTTAACTTTATGACATATGTATGATATAGCACTGGAAAAACTAGAGCTGCAGAAGTCACCTGGTTGCATGGTTAGTGCACCAAGATGAACAGAGCTGTATTGTGCTGCTTAAGAAATCTTGTTCCTTTGAAAGCAAGGTTGGGTTTTTTCCCTCATTATTTTCCCAGGAAGTTTCTTTCAGCAAAGTGTTCTCTGAGAGCTTGCTATTACTCTTATTAAGAACAGCTATCTGTCTGCTGGTGCTGGTAGTTTGTTCTTATGCTGTAATATTGCACAAATTTTAAGTTTGGGGTTTTTCTATCTTACATGTTATTTTAAAGAAATGTCATCATTATGTAAGCTTTCAGGAGTTTGCACTACTAATTAAATTCAGTAAATGAGGTCTTGTTTCTTCATTCAGGTATGAACCTCAAAATAAAATTACAAGACCCAAATAAAGTATAGTGTGTTTCACACAGTAAAAATAATTAGCAAAGATAGAGAAATACACAAAACTAACAGATGTGCATAATTTTTATCACTCTTTTCATTCATACCTCCTTGTTACTATTTTTTTTATTTAAAAATTTATCTTCCTGATTTTTTTCTTCTAAATTTATCACCTTCCATTTAATTCTAGTACTTTCTGGAAAAAGCCTGCTTCTATTGTAATATATAGATTGATAATATATGATAATTTCTGTTTACTTGTTTTGTACTACAATTCTCTGTTGAACATATTCATTTCCCAGCACAATTGTATTAATAAAAAAGTCTTGCTGTGCATGTGGTGGTACTTCTGAAGTAAACAGAAGCAAAATTTCCTGGTTATCTAAAAACAGTAAGTTCTTGGCACTCACATTCCATTTTTGTGAATGTTGACGGAAATCAAAGTGTAAACAGCATAGCAAAATAGTGTGCAAACCATTCTGCCATGTTTTCTGTGGATCTTCCTTGCTGAAGAGTAAGTGGTTTCTCTACATCTCTTGTGCCTGCTTTCAGTTCTGAAATCTGAATGCAATATTTAGGATTTGGCCAGTAGTTGAGAGCAGCACTGTGTGCTTTGGCTCATCACATACTGTGATATATAATGAATCTCTTCAGTAAAGC